TTAAAATGAAAATAGGCAGTTCCTTATATCATGTTTACATTTTATTGTTGAGAAAGTAAAACAACGTAGCCAGGGTGATGTGAATGAAGTTATAAAGTACACTGTTCCCTTTGAAGATTTACCCGTGTCCTCGGTATAGTCTGTTTTCCATATCAAACTGAGAAGAAGAGACTGCAGCCATGATCAAACTTGCGAAGTTTTAACCTACACGGAGAAGATGCAGGACTGAACTGTGCGTGTTAGGCTACTTAATATTCAGGAAAAGCCCCAATCAGAGAGGCGAATGTCTGCAGCCCCGCCTCCGTTTTCAAATGTCTCCGTTTTCCATCATCCACACTGAGACGGAGCAGCTGCGTTTCAGAATGAAAACGGCTTCTCCAGCGTTTTCGAAACGCTCCGTTTTCGGCGCTCGAGAACTCCGGCGTAGTGTGGACGGATGGCGTAACCGTAGCAAAACTTATGCGTTTTCAAACTAAAACGCATTAGTGTAAACGGGGCCTTATTTAGCAAGGATGCCACACGCATTGCAATGTTGTACCTCTGCTTTGAACAACTATAAATAGCATAGATGTAATCATATCCATTCCTCTGAGATTCTCCATCATTCAGTTCCATATGTCATAGTGGGATAGCGGTAATGGGGTTGCAGCGTTGTTACGTTTATTAGCGGGATCTATGGGCATTCTTGTGGTGAAACGGGTTCCACTCGAATAGGAGATTTCATTTAATTGGAATTCAGCGGTAATGTCTTCTGATGGGGAAGGATCCGGGATGTGGTATGGAGGGCAGACGGGGGCTTTTTTTTTTTGGGAATGAAAGAGAGGATGCAAGAAAAGATTTTTTTTCTCTCCTTTTTTTTTGTTAGTTGTGAGAGGAGGAGGAGGGGGTGACTGGCAGGAATCTGGGATATAAGCGGAACTTTAGCATTGTGTGGTTTAGTCTTGCTTTTCATTGCACAGATTGTCTGAGAAACCTTGCTGAAGTGTTCCTCCTTTCCAGAGAAAAAAAGGGCGCTGATCCTAAAAAAGAAAAGAGGCCAGTCGAGGTTGACCCCTCTGCCTGGTTTCTTATACTTGTTTTAACACAGTTTTTGTGTAGGCTACATCAAAAGATTAACAAAAGACAAAATCTCTCTGTAGCAGCACTGGAAAGTTTGAACTTTTATGTCTTGAACCTGTAGAATATCTAAAGGAGCAAAACTTTGTTATATTCAGATTTGCTCTAAATGACCATTTCTCAAGTGTTGATTATCTCTTTAATCAAAAAAGGGAAGGACATTAACAACAGATGCTGTTTGCCAAAAGAATGTTTGATCCTTCCCACTTTGTCGAAGAACTGCAGAATTTCAAAACTTTTTGTTTTATTCTTAATGATATCCTCCAAAATGTCTTTAATCATTTTATCAAAAAAGAAGAAGAACAAATAATGCTGTCAGTCAAGGGAAGGCTTCACACATCACATTCACACTTGGTCTAAAGAGGACAACTTTTTGTGCCCAATCATACACCTAGCGCCATAAGGCACAAGATGTGTATAACACGATTTGTTGCTATTTTCACACCAACGCAACTATAATTTCCACATTTTGCGCCACATTTTTTTTAACGTAGTAAATAGATTTTTTTTTCAGTTTATTGATGACAATTTGGATTTGTATAATGTTATAATGTTATTATCATTGTTAGTATTATTTGATTATATGCATATTTATATTTGTTTTAATAAAAACAAGTTTAGATTTGTCCGCATGTCGAATTTTGTAGACGTATGCATCACCATATGGGGCATATGGACGTGTGTTTGGATGTAACTCTTTTTTGAGCACACTTCGTTATTATTGTTTATTTGTTTGTTTGCTGGAAATTAAAACTGAGTTTAGAAATAGTTTTGAAACAAATGAAATTAAATATGTAGACTAATGTATGTCTTTATTGGAGTGAGTTTCCAGCATTTCCTTATCCACCAAGTGAAGTAAAGAGTAAAAGTAAAGTAAAGAGGCTGAATGGAGCAGGCTCAGTCTTTATCCTATTAGACAAATAGTCTGCTTAACTGTTTTCTTGCTAGTGAAGCATTTAGTTTTTTTACTTGCAAAATCTGCCATGTTAATAGCAAATGCGCCATGGTGCGACTCAACTGACTCCTAAAGGGAATGTGAGATGAGACGCCTATTGGTTTATTGCATATACGCTCAAAACACACCCCTTAAGCCTACACTGAATCTGCGCGCACAGAATTTCACAGATTTTAAACCCATCATTGATTCTGTTTATTTATTTGTGTAAATGTTTATACATTTATATTTATTCAGTTTTTAAATTAATTTTAGCAACATTATTCACTAATTTGAAAATAATTATATGATTTATTTACAATAAAGTTTTAAAGTAATATTTTCTGTCTTTTAGTAGATATATTATATGAGAGACTTGCTTTGTTTACCAAATAAAGTGAATCTAATTGGATTTGCATTGTAGACAAATTAAAAAGGTATTACTTTTTATTGCATATATTAGGGCTTTAGTTACGATACTCCCAAAATCATTCTACATAAATCCGCAGATTTTTAACAAAATTCTGCGCAGAAATATCAAAAATGTCAGCAGATTCCGTCTGGCCCCATAGCTCATTAAGAGAATAAGAACAACCCTGTTAGACCATGTGCTGGGGTACAAACCATAATTTTTGGTCCTTAAATTAGCAAAAGGACATTCAGACACACCCTAATGCTTTTGCGCCATATGCTTCAGACTTTGCGTTTTTAATGATATCTTCCAAATCACTTTTTCTTGAGTGTTACTTAGAGTGCATCCAGCAAGTATTCATAGCTTTTTTATGTAACAGCCTTATTTCAAAATGAATTAAATTCATTTATTTCCTCAAAACTCTACACACAACACCCCATAATGACAATGTGAAAAAAGATTTTTTTGAAATTGTTGCAAATGTATTAAAAATAAAAAAGCTGAAAAATCACATGTACAGAAGTATTGACAGCCTTTGCTGTGAAGCTCTAAATTGAGCTCAGGTACATTCTGTTTCCACTGATCATTCTTGTTGTTTCAGCAGCTTAATTGAATTCAGTTGATTGGACATGATTTGAAAAAGCATACACCTGTCTATATAAGGTCCAAGGGTTGACAGTGCATGTCAAAGCACAAACCAGGCATGACCCAAAAGCACACACCAAAATATCAGTAGAGTGGCTTCACAACAACTCTGTGAATGCCCTTGAGTGGCCCAGCCAGAGTCCAGACCTAAATCCTATTGAGCATTTCTGGAGAGATCTGAAAATGGCTGTACACAGTCCCTTCCCATCTAACCTGATAGAGCTTGAGAGGTACTGCAAAGAGGAATGGGCAAAAATTCCCAAAGACAAGTGTGTCAAGCTTGTGGCATCATATTCAAAAATACTTAAGGCTGTAATTGCTGCCAAAGGTGCATTAACAAAGTATTGAGCAAAGGCTGTGAATACTTATATACATGAATTTTCAGGTTTTTTATTTTCAATAAATTTGCAACAATTTCAAAAAATCTTTTTTTTCACATTGTCATTATGGGCTATTGTAGAATATTGAGGAAATAAATGAATTTAATTCATTTTGGAATAAGGCTGTAACATAAATAAATGTGGAAAAAGTGAAAAAAAAACATTTGATAAAGAAAAAAAAAACGATGAACGTTAACAAAAGATGCTGCCTGTCAAGAGACAATATTGAACCTACACACTTTGTCTTGAACCATCTTAAAGAGTAAAGTAAAACTTCTTGTTATATACTTGATGATATGTTAATGACCTCTTTTACAGAAATATTAAGAACTTCTCAGCTGTTCAGTCTGAACAGTGGGGGCTTACTTGTAGTGTCTGGCTGTGGCATGCTTTGCAAGTAAGCTGTTGAGAGGGTTAGAAGTAGGATCTAAAGTGTTTAAGTCTGTCACCAGCAGTTGCTGAGCTGTCAGCTGGAAGTCACGGCCAGGGTCGTGCTCCCAGCTCTACAGGCTCTTCATTGCAGAAGAGGCGCCATTTTTAAGTAAGCACAAGGAACACGCGGTTGTTTGAAGGCCCCACAAGGTCAGCTGCCGAGGATTGACTGGAGCGCGCCATTATTGTGAGCCTGATGTGAATGTTGACATTTAAAAATGGCTGGTACTTGGTGTGATGTCTGCAGATTTTGTTCAGTAGCAGTGTTTTTTACACATATGAAAACATGTCCCACTCAAATTTCACCCAGAAGTAGGCAAAGGAAAACATAACATTTTGCTATATATATATATATATATATATATATATATATATATATATATATATATATATATATATATATATATATATATATATATATATATAATGTTGATGGAACTGATTAATTTGAATTGGAACTGATTAATAATGGATAATTGAACTGAATAAATAATAACAGAAATTAAAGAAAATATGTTTAAAGGAGGATTAAACACAATGCTATATTTTAGAAGAGCAATAAACGCTTTTTTTAGTTTCAGAGTGTTTATTAAATTTATAAATATATATTTAAAGTTAAATATTATATGCATTTTGTGTAGAAACATATGGATTTTGTTACAGTGAATAAAAATTTGTGCTATTTTTACAGGCAGCCGTGGGTAGTTTTAGAGGGATAAAACATTTTGACAACAAATGGTCTTGTCCATCTAAAACATTTGAAGCATGCTTTGCATAAATATTTACAAATCTGCACACCCTGCTCCTCCTGATAATGTGCAATTAACACCAGTTAACAGCACAGACAAACACACAGACAGTTTTAAAAAGCATGCTTTTTTTTTTTTTTTTTTGGAAATGTTTACTCCTGTTCGTGCTCTTCACCTCCCCCCTCTTTGTCCCTCGCCTGCTGTCCTTTGACGCGTCCTCCTATTGATAGTCACTCCGCGGTTCCCACAGCACAATAGCCATCAACGCCCCGCCCACTGGGCGTAACCAAAGCTGTGGGCAGTTTATAAAAGCCCCTCCGAGTGACAATGAGGAGACTCTCAGCGCTACTATGCAGCAGTCGGATGACACGCTTGTTTTTTAGAATAGGCTTTTGGAGGGAGGTTTAGATAAATGCTGTGTATATAAAAAAACATAGTTTATTGAACATGTTGAAAACATATCGCGGAAAAGTCGTGGTCTCTCTTGCGGGAGCCACCGTCACCTGTCTGGGGTTTCTGTTGTTTCTCTCGCAGCATCAGCGGATTCAGGCGGACGGGATGCAGAACGAGAGCGAGGTCGGGTTGCGCTCGCTCCAGAGTCTGGGAGATTCAGAGACTGATGATGGAGCTCAGCCTGAGCAGAATGCAAAGAAAGGATTCTCTGCTTATTTTTCCAAGCTGACCCGCAGCAGGAGGGAAGCGGATAAGCCCAGCGAGGCACCCGGAGCGGCGACAGACGCGCCGCCTGCGGAGGACATCAGCGCGGATGACATCTTCATCGCAGTGAAGACCACTAAAAAGTTTCACCGGTCCAGACTGGATCTACTTCTGGACACCTGGATCTCCAGAAACATGCGACAGGTATACACGGTTACATATTGTTTCTAAATCTTGTTGCACATTTTGGTTTGCTTAGTTTGTTAAAAAAATCGTCTGCGTTAGAAAAACTAGTTTTAGTTATGAATTTAGCCATATTTACATGTTTAAATAATTTTACACTGTTTTGGAACACTTATTCCCTTTTTTCTAAAAATGAAGTTGCTTTACCGGTGGAAATCAATGTTTTGTGTTAAAGACAACTGATTCAATGGTGTTCCTATATAGACTTCAGCTAATAACTTTTGTTTTTAGCATAAGCTGTACCACAAACCCATTAAAGTGTGTTGTTTGTAGTTTTTAGGTGATCAAAAATACATTTACAATATCCTAAAATATAAATAAATAAATAAATAAAATTCAAAGATTCACAGTCTCTCTGTGCTGTCTGTGGCAATGGCTGTATTGCTCACAGGGTGGCTGTAAGTCCCCCCTGCTCCCCTCCTGCTCCATTGTTTGGGATGTCCCCGTGAATACTCCAGGCCTAAGGATGCATCACAGCAGCAGCTTCAGAGCTGTCCCCTTCTCAGTGCTAACAAAGCGTCTTTCTGAAGGGGGAAAGAAAAGCTTTGCCAGCCCCTTGTCTCCCACTCTCCATGGGAACCGGGGATCTGGAGCAGAGGCTGGGTCAAGCTACCCAAGCGGTGGGAAAAGAGAGTCTTCGTTATGGAGATGCTGGGGGGCACAAAGGGACAGCATCTATAGGCAAGGAAAGGCTTTTCAGCAACATGCCGAGTTGACTCAGTATGAAAATACAGCTCTGAGAAATAGGCCTCTTTTGCAGACAGCACAAAAGCACTCTCCGCACCTTGACAGCAGCAAGCGCAGAGCAGTCAAAGTGATTTTACCCACCATCTAGAGTAGTCGCTTATACTTTTTTTTTACAAAAGTCAGTTTAATTTGCCTCGGGGCTCTGTCACAATCAGTTTCCTTCACACCTTAAACACGAGGGGGTTTTATTAATGCTATTTGAATATGGCTCAGCCATAGCAGCACTTTCATATTCTTGCCGCAACCGAGCATAAAGAACATTGTTTGTGACATTTGTGAGAATATGAAAGCATGTGGAATGTAAGAAATCATATCAGATGTCGTGAGCACACATTAAGTCAGCTCAGATTTGTCTTTTGCTGTCCAGCTAAACTGATACAGCCACTCTACAGGCTTCAAGGTGAGATTGGAAAACTAATACTGAGCTTGTTCAGTACAGGAGTTGATAGAAGTTAACCCACAGAAGAGAGAGTTAACAGCAGGGATTAATAGCAGCAGCTGGTGGGGAGCAGTGCAGACATAAAAGACCACTGCAGCCTAGAATACAAGGGGGAGTTTCTGGAGAATGAGTGCCAGGTGGCTGGGTCTCAAAGAACAAAAGATGGCTCTAATGCCAGCTATACGAACCCTCAGAGCCTCAACATGTGGACATGGAAGGCCGCTCTCAAATTATTTCAACATTCATCCATGCAACACCTGAGTACGTTGTTAAATCCCAGTTATTGTCATCTGAACGGCCGGGGATTATCCCAAGGACTCCAGTGTACTGTTTGGCCACTTGCCACAATGGCTGGCACCAGACAAGTGTTTTGCTGGGCCAGGCATTGTTAGACCCACAGCATGGGAACTTTGTCACATATGTCAAGTGAGATGATGCGTGACTGATATTGCGAACATGTTAATAGGGGTTAGACACTTGTGTAAGAAGGATCCTTTCAGCCTGCTTACCTATTTCAGGTGCTGGCCTGACGGGTGATGTATTGGACTGTTTACATGTAAACACAGAGAGTAGATCCAATCTGTGCATGCTGTTGACACTCATGGCAGCCTGTGGCTCATCATGATGGGAAACTGTCTTGTCTTTGTTTAGAGTTAGTCACAGTCAGCTAGAAGCTCCCATACTCTTGTCAATACACTGTAATTATCATCATTATTATTATTGCTGTTGATGTTTTTAAAAGAATCCCCATAGCTGTTTCTGCATGAGTACTTGTTTCTGATTATAAAATGCATGCTTTGTAATTGTCTTGACTTGATGAGTCAGGACTCTTGAATAGTGTTATTCTTTTCAGTCAGATCTGCTCCATTTTGAATTGTTCACGCTACAGCTTCTGGCTTCCGCTGTTTCTCTTAATTTCCCCCCTGGAACAATACAGCTTCCCCAGTGAGAGAAATTCACAACAATGAGAGAACAGCCTGTGCTGCGGCCCGCGGCTATAGTATCCGGTGTCCAGTTACACAGACAGCTACCAAATAGCAGTCAGATCAAATGCACACTTGTAGAATAAGCATGGCCAAGCTCGTAACTTCTGTCTGTGAAATGTAACTGCGTAATTACTCACCTTTGTCAAAGTAGATTTTCTTCTAGGGTGAAAACAAGCTGGTAGAAACTGTGAGGATCTGTTGTGGCATGAGTCAAGTGCAAGAATCTGGTCTCTAATGGGCACTGGTAGCAAAATTAGGCATGTGTGGTGTTTAATAGAGGGAGTAACATCTCTCTACATCCTTCCTGGGTAGAAGGAGACAGACAGCCAGGCTCCAGGGTCCGCCTGCCCTATATGCCAGACCTTCCTTTGGTGGGGTGGGAAGCCCTAGCAATCTTTGCCCACTCATCAGATCTCCAAACAACCAAATGAAAACCCCCATCCTTTTTTTTGTGTGCCGGGAAAGCTGGGAAAAGTGAGTTTTGGAAAAAAAAAGCCCCGACATTTATGAAAGAGACCACAAAAGGGTCATTTTGGCTCACAAGATCTTTAATAAAAGGGAAACTGAGAAACAAAGCCATGTGCCACGAGAGGCCTCTCTTTAGTTAACCACTGCAGCTGTATGCAAATTGAGGCAAACATATTTAGGATTTACCCAGTGAGGTCTTTACCCACTCCTCATTGTTTCGATGCAAAGGGAGCAGGGCTGGGGGCAAATGGCCACACACACACACACATTTCCAATGCACTAATCAGTTCTGAGGTTTCTCTCCCTGTCAGTGCCCAGCCTTCCTTGGCAGCTGCCTGCGTGATTAGTCTGCCCTTTCAGCGGAACTCTGCGCAGATAGCGCCAGCCTCTGATCATCTACCCTTCCCAACCGCCAGCCCTCCCTGAACAAACAGAGGCATTGGGCCTTGGCCCCAGAGTGCTGCGCTAAACATCTGCTCAGAGTTTGTTCTGCAAACCAATCAAACATTATCTGGCAATGTTTGAACGGTCAAAAAAGTGACTGTGGAAAGGGGGGTTGAGTCCACGTGCATGCTCGCGTTTAAAAAGCATCACAAAGTGAATCCACTGTTGAGATAAAGATCAAAAGCAGCTGAAGCTTATAAGAGAACATTTTTGTAGTGTAGGTGTACATGTTCAAGGCCAGTTGGGCGTGGGCAGGTTGACCTGTTCAGACACGTGGCTGTGATAAAGCGGCGGGTGGCAGGTGCTGTCTCACCTGAGGTGGAAAGCAAACAGGTTTACGGCAGTGCATGGCCAGGGGCACGCCGCCTTTTCATCAGTCTGTCTGAGGCGTGTGGTGTCTTTCTCTCAATGGCTCCTTTGAGCTAGGGCTGCCGCCTCGCACCTGCTCTGTCTTATCTTCCACAATGCGCTCCTAATCCCACCCCGTCTATTTTAATGTTAACAAAGCCTTGAGGGGTCAGACGTCAGTGAATGCACATTCTCTGTGGTGAATATGTATTCATCATTCTGAGTATGTCCGGGAGAATGGGACCTGGTGCTTCTTTCTTTTTTCCAAATGACTTGGCCATTCTTTCTTTGGGACGTTTTAACATGTCTGAAGTGGATAGAGGGTCGAGGAAAGGAAAGACTTGGGAGGTGTTCAGGGGCAGTGGAATGGGGGTGGAGGGTTGGGGGGAGGATGGGGGTAAGTGGGGTGGTCTGCTCCCCGCTTTGTTCTGGGCATGGGATGCTTTGGGGTGCAGAGCAGTTGCCATGGAGAAATTGACAACAAGAACAAGAGGCCTTTATTTTGGGGGGTAGAGTTTGGCTTGTTTAACTTGCTAAGTTTTCCATGGCGTAAAACCCAGACAATGGTTCCCAATCAAGCCGCTTGGTATAAATAGCTCTTGAAGACACACGATTCCAGTTTGGAGCTTGTCAGTTCCTGTTTCGTCTTTGCTATGGTGCAGTGATTCACTGATGAACTTGTGTGACTCTGCTGAAAAAGCTAACCAGGCTTTCTCTTTGTTTTCACAGACATACATCTTCACAGACGGCGAGGATGAGGAGCTGAAGAAGAAAATTGGTGAGTCCAACTTCCTCAAGCGAAAGTCACAAGGCTAGAAAGAAGCAGCCATTCCTTCTTTGATATGTGCATAGTTTGGACGCAGCCTCCTAATCCTCTTAAAAATCTTGTGCTTAGCTAAAGGGGGGCTGGCATATTTCGAGAAAGATGGTATTAAGTCACCTGACTTCTCAGATGATGGGCATTTCTCAAGTGAGACGTATAAGTGGAGCATTACATGATCATTGACAGAACCTGTCCTCTTGTCCACACAGGAAGCCATGCTATCAACACCAACTGCTCTGCTGCCCACAGTCGCCAGGCTCTGTCCTGCAAGATGGCTGTTGAATATGACAAGTTCATTGAGTCTGGAAAAAAGTAAGCATGCATGAATAATGCCACATCATAAGTACTTGTTTTAGCATCAAAGTGAATCACATTGGATGTTCTAATGATATCCCTTCCTGGATTAGGTGGTTCTGTCATGTGGATGATGATAACTATGTGAACACAAAGACACTTGTGAAGTTGCTCTCCAACTACCCCCACACTCAGGACATGTACATTGGCAAACCTAGCCTGGACAGGCCAATTGAGGCTACAGAAAGACTTGGGGACAACAAAATGGTAAGTATACCAAAACATTTTTACATATATTGGTATTAAAACTGAAAAGGATCATTGAGAATAGAAACTAATGGTTTTTGTTTCTTCATTGCAGAGACCTGTGAATTTCTGGTTTGCCACTGGAGGAGCTGGTTTCTGTATCAGCCGTGGGCTTGCTTTGAAGATGAGTCCATGGGCAAGGTGAAAAAACCATTCAACTATTGTGATGTTAGTTTGAAGATATTAGCAGACTTTGTTGACTTTCTTTAATCTTTATATAATAGTGGTGGCCATTTCATGAACACTGCTGAGAAGATCCGTCTTCCTGATGACTGTACCATTGGCTATATCATCGAGTCAGTTCTTGGGGTCTCTTTGACCCGAAGCAGCTTGTTCCACTCGCACTTAGAGAACCTGCAACAGGTGTCCAAATCAGAAGTACACAAACAGGTAAGAAACTTCAATGAAAAAACTGACAAGTACACTGTTCTGTGAAATATTCGACAGTTGTGCTAATGCAGTTTTCCGTACAATTTCATCTAGATTACATTGAGTTACGGAATGTTTGAAAACAAGAGGAATATCATCAACATGAAAGGGGCTTTCTCTGTTGAGGAGGACCCATCCAGGTAAGATGGTTTCCGGACACAACCATAGGCCAACAACCTACAGGCTTTAACCACAAATTGCTCTAGACAGATTACTTTTCATTATTAAGTCAGTTAATTACAGCTCCTTATAATACACTTGCCTTAAATATTGTTCTGTAAAAGTCAATTCAGAAAAGCAGAATAATCGTATTTTTTAGTTATTTGAATATATTCTGCAGATGAATCCTATTTTTCAGAGATAAATAAGTTACATTTATTATTTTTTAATATTACAGGTTACAATTATTTCATGAAAATAAAAGGTTTAAATAATTGTGCATCATTTACAGGGTGTATGCAGGGTCTTAAAAAGTCTTAAGTCCACTGAAATATTGTCTTGTAGGTCTTAAATCATTTTAAAAAGGTCTTATTTTTTTTCAGTTATGTAAAGCTACCCAATCAATCCAAAACACATCCGATCACCAACAACACATCTCAATAAAACTTTTTAGTAAAACTACTCATAACTAATTTTATAACTGTAGTCTTTTGTGCAAACGTATAGTTTTTAAGTTGTTTTTCAAGTTGTGTTGAACAAAAATATGTGTATACAACTAAGGTTTGCTTGTTTTGACAAGCTATTTAAAATATGTGGCTAATGACTAATTAGTTTTTTTTTTCTGCTGGGCCAATAAAGATCATTGCAAATCAATTAAAATTTAGCATCTAGCCCTATATTAGGCTGAAATTTCATTCTTCATGGTCTTAAAATGTCATAAATTTGACTTGGTAAAACCTGCAGAACCGCTGTATTTAGTAATTGAGTAATTGTGCGTTTACTTTAGTCTGATATTTTGCATTAAAACTTTAAATTTCAAGAAGTTTATATTTTTTAAACAAAGTCCTGTTTTGACTTTTAAAAATTACATTTAATTTTCATTGTCTTGGTTTTCAGATTTATCTGGATTAAGTTAAAATTTACATTTTTCGCACAATTTAATAATATAATAAGTAGTTAATTACCTTTTTGAGGTGACACCCAACACTTGCCTGAAGACCTGGTTTAGGTGTGTTTGGTCAGTGTTGTAGACTTGTCACTTTGGATGCCCCATTTCTAGATGATGTACACTGTAAAATATTTGACTTTAAATTTATCGTAAATTACTGGCTAATAATTGCATTACTTTCACAGTAAAGTACTGCATGCAAATTCACAGTAAATTACTGTGAGGTACTTCATAATAACAATAATTCTGTAAATATTTCATAATATCAAAAAAGGTGCCTGCACTAGCATAAAATTAACGTGTATTAATTTCTATGTTGAATAAAATATTATTAGTGTTTGAATTCCTACAACTAATGTGCAAAAGATATAGCGGTTTTTACAGTAATTTGCTGTAATCATGATGCCAGCCTTAATTTCACAATAAAAGTATGTATGAATATGTATGATTAAACGGTTAAATCCTTTAAAGTGACACTAATATAATTTACTTTGGAAAAATTACAGTAACGTTGAGAAATTCTGGGAATTTTTACAGTGTATGTATATTGCATACATGTACTAATTTAACCTCCGTTATTTTTATGTTCTCATTTAGGTTCAAGTCAGTGCACTGTCTGCTGTATCCAGACACTCCTTGGTGCCCTCCTCAGGTTGCCTACTAAGGCGACCGGCTCCTCTGTTGTATCCTCGTCTCTCACTGCCTCGGTATCTGAAAGGCATGAGGGACCAGTGTGGTATTGGGCTGTGTGACCGCTGCGTTTACTCTGCAGTGGCGCACGGCCTTTCGCGGTTATTCTGGGCTGCTGTGCGGCCCGCCTTTAAACAGTTCCTTCCTGCCTGGTGCCTGAGCTTCCTGTCCGACTCAGACACGACGCAGGGCCCGGCTTTCAGAAGGACGCTTCCATCGCCAAGCTTCGCATGCAATCAACTGTGCTTTACGTCATTACTGTTGCTTGTATCCCATTTGCAATTCTCATAGAATGTAACTTTCTAGTATACCCAAGCCTTTTGCCAGCTTTATACGCTTAGTTTTTAAATTGGAATTAGCAAATACTTTATATTGATTATTTCTCTCTCCAAATCTCATTCAGGACGTTTTTTTATCCCTCAGGTTTGATTTAACGATTGATTTCCAAAAGAAATATTCTGAGAAAATCAGTAACGTAGGTGCTTTAATCATCTAAAGCAGTGTTTCTCAACCACGCTCCTGAAGGACCACCAGCATTGCACATTTTACATGTCTCCCAAACCAAACACACCTGATTCAGATCAGCAGCTCATTAGCAGAGAATGAAAGACCTGTAATGCTGTGACAGACTAAGGAACCATCCGAAACATGCTGTGTTGGTGGTCCTCTAGGAATGCGGTTGAGAAACACTGCTCTAAAGGACTCCGGACACAATTAATGAAATGAAGGTCCTTTTTATTTGTGAATTTCTTTCTTTAATGTCAGTGTTATTATAATTATTATTGCTGTTTAGTTGATTTTGACATTTTGTGCTGGCAATAGGCAAATATTCCGAACATGCTGGCAGGTTGTTTTAATCTGCAGTATATGAGGTTTGAGCACTTTTCTCCCTAAAATCTGGGCATTTTATTGTGATTTTAAATCTTAAAGCTGTGTGAAATAATGTATCAAGTGCCCTAAATGTTAAGATCTTTATATTATTTAATGCCAATGCATTCACACAATCTTTGCAGATATATATGAAGAGATTTTTGGCATGATTTATTAAAATATTTTATTGTTAGCTTTTGCTCAAAGATGTACCTAAGTGGGAGTTGCACAGCTTGGTTTAAAGAAACTGTTGGTTGCTCAAGTAAAGCGTCTCATAGCAATGGCGTTTACTGTTGTGAATTGGCGCCAGGGCCACTGTCAACACAATGTACATTGTTAAAACAGATGGCAGCTAAAGTTGAAGACGTGTTTATAGCACAGATCTGAGTTCTCTGATCCCTTTTGCACAGAGTGGTCTGGCCTAGAGCCACAGTTTCACAGTTGGACATCACTATGCCAACTATACAAAACATGCTAAGTGAGAGCTTGACATGAGCAACAACAGTGATCCTAACAGAGTTTCGGTTTCTCTTTGGGAATGACCCATATTGGGTGAGCCTGTATATCTTATTTTAAAGCAGTATTTATGTACTGTGCTATTTGAAAACAACTGTATTTGTACATAATTGTTTAGATATTATTTGCATTCGGTCACTTGTGGATCAGACCTGGTTCTGATGATTCCTATCGTGTTTTTTAATGCTCTGAATTTCGCTAAAGGCTGTAAGTTACATTCCAGTATCTGGAGTCATTGTTCAAATGTTGTCATCTCAGGGATCACAGTCCTGATGTTGTTACCTTGGGCTGCCTTGGTAATTCAGCTTTTGAATAAAGCAGCATATTCGCTAAAAAACTTTTTGAGAATTGTTGTCTGTTTTCATTTTGGACACTTGCATATTTGTGACCCTGGACCACAAAACCAGAAATAACATTTTTGGAAATTGAGATCATTACTCTCATGAATGCTTAATAAATAAGCTCTCTATGGACTGAGACATGCAGGAAAGCTCAGATACTAACAATCAATCGTAGCCTGAAATTCGTACAGTACAAATGGTTAATGCGAACATACATAGCTCCCGCTATATTGCACAAGTTTAACGATAATATTCCAGATACCTGTATAAAGTGTAAGGAGGTAAGAGGTACACTTTACCACTGTATATGGGAATGTGTAAAAGTGAAACTCTTTTGGCAAGGTGTTATTAAAATAATTGACCACATTTTATCAAAGAAATGACTATTAAATCCTAAGATTTTTGTCCTGGGTAAATATTCTTTTAGACCTCCTTTACAAAGCAAAGAGGTCAGATTGATAGACGTGTAGTTTACAAGCTTAACATAATATTGCTGTTAATTGGAAAAAAATATAAATGAACCTAGAATAGGAAAGTTGATTAAAGAAATAGCGTTGCATATGTCAATAAAAAAGATCACACATTGTCAAAAAAAACAAAAAAAACAAAATGTGTTTGAAGATATTTGGAGACCTTTTAATAACTTCCTGAAGTACAATGTAAATGTTGGCAGTCTACTACAACAAGAACAAGCTTAGAAGGAGTAGGGGAGTATCATGGCCTAAACATAGACTCAGGAAACACAATTTACCTAATTTAAACATCATTTTTTTCTCATTTATTTTATTATTATTTTTTAAAGGGAATGTGTTGATGGGAGGGAGTAAAGGGTGTAAAACGTTTGCTGTGACTTCATGATTATTAGTCTGTAACTGTGTAATCTGTTGTGATATGCAAATTGAAAAAAGTAATAAATATATTGTACAAAAACAAAAAAAAAAACTCTCTATATCTGATAAACAACAGTAAAAATCTGGAATCTGAGTTGTTCATAAAATCTAAATATTAAGAAAATTGCTTTTAATCTCTTAAAGTCAAGTGCAATTTTGGGCTTTCTGCCTGGATTTTGCCTACCCAATTTTAAAAGCTTCCCAAATCCACATGCAGAGGTGTAAATGCAACATTTTAGTGTCATTTTGAAGAAAACCCCTTTGAGTTTTCATAAAACACTGTTGAAAGTGAAAAATAATTGTCTTTTTTTCCTCAAAAAAAATGTTTTTTTTATTTTATTTTGTAAACTCAAATTTGAAAGTGTATCATTTAGGTTCTGTGTGATCTGGGTTGCTGTACATGTCAGCAGTCATAAGAAAAAAGAAAAAAATGTCTCTCTCATTATCTATGCAAAAGTTATTCTGTTTCAACTGATTTATGATTGAACTATTTATGGGGGTTTTGGGCCAGTTCAGAGCTTTAAAATGTATGGATGCAGAAGTAAATGAAGTAACAGGCCGGTACCGAACCCCAGAGGGAGGTTAAAAGTGTGCAAATTAAGTGCTAAGAAATGCATATTTCTCATCAAAAAGTTTTGATACATTTAGGGTCAGAAATGTATAAAATGTCTTCATTGAACTTTTTTTTGGCAGAAAAAAACTATTATTATGACCAATGCAATGCATTTTTGGCTAATAAAAATTATTTTTAAAATGCCACCAAGGTTGAATTTAGTGATTTGGGGACCCAAATAATTCCACCCATAGGGCTCAACAGGTCTAATATGCACCTTATTGATTGATTTATTTATTTAGTAATTTATAGCACCTCTTCTTTTCTACCTTAATCTACATTTAAATCTACATTTAAATGATTTGTTTTCTCAATGTGACATTAACATGAATTCACTGAAATACAAAATGAGCTATTTTGTTGTTAAAACTTAAACTGCTTTTAAATCTGCTTTATTAATGGCATGTTCCACTGATCCATGATTGGGGAGGGGGACACATTGGCACACGTAGTAATTATTTAAAAATATTATTTGTTAGACCCTCACCATGCAAAGTGCAATAAAAATCTATGCTTTATTTAATTTTTAGAAAATAATTTATTATTTATAAGCGACCGCTTACCTCATTAATTGGTTAAGTCCATCCCTGCATACATCATAAGACTGGTTTTGTGGTCCAGGCTAATATTTTTTAGATTTCTGAACACAATTCTGTCATTACTTGCTGACTCTCCAAACCATTTTCACAAGTAAAAAAATTGCATGTTAGTCTGTAACTTAAATCTATCATATGATTACACAGAGAGAAAAAAAAATCATATTTAAAATGCTTTTCTGATATGACATCATCTTTTTTTTTTACTGAATGGAAGAAAGCATCATGATTTTAAAACATTTCCCTCCAATTGCTCAAATTAATGGAAGCCAAACAGAATATTCGGTAAACTATCCCTTTCAACAATACCCAAGACAAACAGAGAAAAGGACACACACTTACAACATCGCAACACACAGACAACTTGCATCAATCACTTCGAGTAAAATCATTGCCAGACCGCAGAGGTTCAGAGGCCAGTGTCTCTTACTCTGTCAAAATTGTTGTGAACTGTTACTGAAGCGTGCAAACCAAACAAACTCGGCCCCTCGTGGGTTTCGAGCGCTGGCACTGACCCGTTGTGTGTTGCTCGTTGAATTAATGAAACACACTTGAAAGTTTAGTCTCACTCACTCATAATTTATTATTCTACAACGACTGCCATGGGAAAGAACATTTCCTCACTACCGGCCCTTTCAACACACCATTATAGTCACGTCATCCGAGGCCTAGAACATATAGGGGGGACTGAGAGTGAGGTAAGATTTGTCACCTCATTCATTAAGCAAACTGCGAACATGTGGAAATGGCTCCATTACGTTAAAATATTCTCATGTAAGAATGCAACCCAGGCTCATTCTGAAAACGTACCTCTATATACATTTCTGGAGACTGTGAAATATGTCCTACACTCTTAGGGTGCTTTCACACCTGTGAATCGATTCAGTTGTTCCGAAACAGAGATTAAAATTGTTACATTGTTGCTCTTTGCTCTTGGAGCGGTTCGCTTTCACACTGCAAAGTTTCTAATCGTACCAAAAGAGCTAAAACAAGTCACGTGCGAGTAAACTCTCCTTACATTGGTCAGAGTGTCAGGGTTTATTTTGCAGCTTTCCGCTCAGCTGTCAGGAGAGGTAGTGGTTTGGTGGTGATTGACAGGGTGCGCTCGCGTGACGTGTCTGAGGAGAGACACGGTGGGGAGGGGTGAGAAGGGTGCGCGACGATGCCTATTTGAGGACCGGGAGAGAGACGCGAGATTACCGGGAGATCATCACTCGTTTGCGGGCATCCGGAGACTCGCGAAACTTCCCGCCATACTCATAATTCTCTCTTCATATAGCCGTAAGACTATTATATATCCATAAAACACTAATATAACCGCACTCGGATCGGATCGCTTTCTCACTGCAATCGAACCGCTCCAGGGTTCGTTTCAATCGAGCCGAGACCACCTCATTTAAGCGATCTCGGAGCGATTACTTTGGCGCGGAACAGAGCGCGATTGCCCTGTTCACATATGCCAATCGAACCGCGCTAACTGGGCAAACGAGATACGTTCCGAAACAAAAGTGTAGGTGTGAAAGCACCCTTAGAAATAAAGGTATGCGTTCTGTAACTGGGGTGGTACCTTTTCGAAAGGCACAAATTTGTAACCTAAAAGGTCCATATTAATACCTCAAGGGTACATATTAGTACCTAAAAAGTACAAAAGTGTTCCTCTTAAAATTTGTAGGTACTAATATATCCTTTTGAGGTACCAAAATGGATCCTTCAAGTACAAATGTGTACCTTTTAAAAAGCTACCACCCCAGTGACAGCTTGCATACCTTAATTTCTGAGAGTGTAGGAGGTATTTTTTTGCAGTTTTTATCTTTTCGAATCCACGAGAGGCCGCTGTGTACATTTTTTAAAATCTTCAATCTCTCTCTCTCTCGAGTGCCATTTGCGCCTGTTCTTGCGTAAATCCACCAAAGCCTGATGACTCTATATACATTTCAATGTACTTAAATATATACAATTCGAAAGACTGACTGACTAACCGACCAATCAACTGACCCACCCCCTCCTTTCCTAAACCCAACCAATTTTATCAATTGACCTGTCCAGCCACTTCCCTAAACCCAACCAACAAATTTCAAAAGAAATCCAGAAAAAGAAAAGCCTTCGTCTAATTTTTATCACGTTTTCAAATTTCACCACATTCTCAACCTGTAACGTACATGTTCATTTATTTATTTTTTTGGCTTCTGTTTTGTTTCACCTGTTTCTAGAACCGTTCTTCACCGGACTCAAACCCTGTTGTCATGGTCAACTCCTCTCTGCATCTCAAGTCCGCAGATGTACATGGTGAGCTAACGGGACAAACAGGTTACAGTGGGAAAGCTGTTCATAAAAATGTAAGCAGACAGCTGGTAAGTGCAAAAAGGAATGGCTTCATACCGCCCCATAGCATTCACTTTAAAAAATGAAATGCAGCCATATGTACTTCTGGCTACATACTTTGAGGTCTCTAGAATCGTACATAGGATTACGTTTTCAGAATGAACCTATGTTGCAAGAATGCTAACTGTTTTAATATAGGCTAGCTGTTGCAATAAAAAAGATTAGAATTTATTTTAGCTGGTAAGTAAATGTATTGCCTTGTATGATTATAAGAGTGAAATCTTGATTGCTTGTGAATTTAAATGTAAATGTAAGCATGAACAACACAATTTTACAACATAAAAGTAACTATTTTATCTTTTGGCAAATTCATTTAAGATGTGCATGATTTCTCATAAAAGCAGGATAAGCATTTTTTTTTTACTGTTCGTTGTACTACACTCATTACCGTTTTCTCATTTTGATTCCACAAAATAAAAGTTTTTTGTTGAAGTGCTATTTTATGAATAGTTTTTAAGTAACATTTTACTTAAAGGGGGTGTTAATAAGACACCTTGACACTTTTATTATCATGA